GTTTGGCCGTGTTAATCATTGATTTGGTGTTGCAAGTCATTACTTACTTACTTAAGTTTTTAAAACACAACACAACTCAACCTGTGCTGGAAATATGTAAAAAAAATAAAAATTAAAAAAACTGCTAAATGACAAAAAATCCACAAAATCATTGGATTGCATCTTGGGATAATTATTTTACTCACCATAGACCTCTTAGTCATATAGTATTCAATAGGCTATTATCAAATTGGTGTCAGAAATCTATGTCAATATTTTATTTTGGAGATCTTTGGAAAAAGCAAGCAATGTAAACCTTAAAATGATTGATGCGTGCAAGGTTATACAACATTTTTTTCATATAGTTTTTAAAAATTTTTACTCATTTTACAGCCCTAGAATTAACACATAATTCCACCAAGTGTAACATCTTTATTTTCTGTGATGGCAAATGGAGCCTAGCATTGTTTAAAGGAATAGTACACCCAAAACATGATTAGCCTTCATTTTCTACTAACCCCCATGCTGAACAACACTCTGGAGTACTTTTTTGATATCTCAAATGCATCTGGAGATCTGGGAGGCTTCTTGCTGTCTGCTGACATTCAAATAATGGAGGTCTATGGTGCCCGAGACAGAAAGGTCCATAAAAGTCCACAAAAAACGTGTCAATATTCCTCCATACTGCTCGTCCAATGTATTCCAAGTGTCCTGAGTGGGTAGCATCCAGAATTTACTCGAAACGAAGTCATTTAGAATGTTTTTAGAGCATAAACAGTAGTGAATAGGATTTCCTAAAAGCGTGTTCACGACGCTACGGAAACCGCGGCAGACCAACCCAGATGAAAGTGCGCATTCAGCTCGGCAAAGAACTCATGTTCTTCCTCAACACTGATGTCCTCAGACATTTTTCTTTCGTTGTTTCTTTCTTTGCACAGGTAAACAGCACATTTCTTCTTCTACGCTTGCATTATTGGCAGAGCAGACGCTGAATGCGCACTTTCATCTGGTTTGGTCTGCCGGCTTCCGTAGTATCGTGAACGCGCAGGTGCGCGCTTTCAGGAAATCCTATACACTCATGTTTATGCTCTAAAAACATTCTAAATGACTTCGTTTCAAGTAAATTCTGGATGCTACCCACTCAGGACACTTGGAATACATTGGACGAGCAGTATGGAGGAATATTGACACGTTTTTTGTGGACTTTTATGGACCTTTCTGTCTCAGGCACCATAGACCTCCATTATTTGAATGTCAGCAGACAGCAAGAAGCCTCCCAGATCTCCAGATGCATTTGAGATATCAAAAAAGTACTCCAGAGTGTTGTTCAGCATGGGGGTGAGTAGAAAATTAAGGCTAATCATGTTTTAGGTGTACTATTCCTTTAAGGTCTTTAAACAATATTGTACCTGACCAATGAAGCGCAGTCAGTCCATCACCCAAAAGAGGGAAACAATATAGCACAGCTGCAAACCTATATGCTGACCACCTAACCTGACATGCTGGGTAAGGACAGCAATTATCCTATATGTCGGTTTGTGGATCCCTGGAGTTTTGGAGAAACTGCAGTGTCCACTGTTCACGTGAGTTGACAAGAGAATTTAAGAGTTGATAAGAGAATCTTACCTGGAAAAAAGCCTGGTATATAGTTCTACAAATCAAACCATCATTTTTTTTTTTTTTTATATAATGTGCTTATTTGGGTTGATCTTTCTCAAGCAGGCTCCCTAAACAATACAGTTAAACAAAGGGTGTTATAGGAAAAAAATGTAAGATAAAGATTATAGTTTATGAACTATGTTTAAATGATAATTTTATTTTCTTATTACTTCTGTTTAGTCACTAAGCCCACAATATTGAGGTTCTTTTTTTACTATATATATATATATCCCCAGCTTAATTGATTCCAAAAGGTCATGACAAAGATTTACACATATGTTTTCAGTATTTTCTAACTGCCTTTCATATCATTTTTATTCCTTTCTTTCTCTGTCTCTGTGTTTAGGGCCTCCCACCCCAGAGGACCTCCCAGTCAAACAACCTGGACGCCGTATAGTAGTGCCCCCTGGTGGTCGCTCCAACATCACATCTCTTAGTTAAACAGCCAGAAGACAAAGCACTCCGAGAAGAACAGCCAGAGTGGATGATAGTGGGATGGGATGGGCGGGGGGGTGGGGGGGGTGGGGGGGGTAACCAGGGTTAGGGTTTAAAATACTTGCAGAGGGATGCCTGAGTTTAAAGAGCAACACACTGAATCCTCATGCCTTACCTGTCACAGTGCTACTATGCTCTGATGAGAATTGTATCCGTTTTCCTTAACCGTGCAAAAGGTGGTAGAAGTTGCCAACAAAGCTCATTACACATGAGCAATGTCAGCCTCAGTTTATGTCAGCTCAGAGTAGTAGCTTTTTTTCGAAATGGAAAATGGATACAGATTTTCTTGGGATTCTCCTTTTCTCCTACTTGACTTTCATTATCCCTCCTTATTCAGTAGCTCACTTTCTCCATAGTCAGCAAGACTTAACAATAGACCCCACATTAGCCATGTTTCGTCATGCAGTGCCGTTGATTAGCTCTAGGTGGCAATGTAAATATGGTAGATGTAATGTAGCTTTGTGAATGATGTGGTTGCAAACCGTTTGGAATTTACTGGACCAATTCAAATACTTTGATCACCTCCAAAAGCCGGAGGGCTGATGGACATGGAGCTGCATGGGCCACATTAATATGGGCGACGTGATCCATGATCCTTTTCCACCTCCTCTGAGATGATATTTACAGTCCTCATAATGTACTGTATTGATGTTAAAAAAGAGAGAAAACAAGACCTGAGAAAACAATACAAGGAACCATAAAGACAGAAGAAATATTAAAAGCGTTTTTTTTGTTCCTCATTCCCAAAATTGGTTTGTCAGATTTTTTTTATCTTGTGTTCACTTCATTTTCCTGCATAAAAGCATTAAAAGAAACCGTCCTTTGCATTTGCTTGCAGTAAATTGGTGACGTCTGCTTCGGTGCAATCATTTAAACAAAACAGAACTGGCACCAACTAAATACATACTCTGGGTATGTATTTAGTGGGTAAAATAAAGCTTTCCCATTAATGCTCTTTGCTGACATTTCATTTTGTAACTAACTTGACTCTTGTTTAAAGACAATTGGAAGATGATACTTCAGTTGTGATCCATCTCTACCCTTTAATAAAATCCTCATTGCATCAAACAGCAACATGTTCATTTTCTGATAAGGCAGAGGATTTTAGTGCAAGGAAGCCATTCAACTGCTCTTTATTGTGTGGAATTTAAACAAGATACTGTTTTTATTCTGCAGACTAAGGCAGTAGGGAGTTGTTATATTCTTCTTTTTGTATTTATGTTTGGAAGACAACCTTTGATTCCCTGTTTTTAAGTTTCTTTTTTTTTACTTTTGTGTCAGAACTCTGAGAGGTCAATAAAAGGTGTGCTGGTATGAAATGTTTCCTGAATAAACAGAAGTTGCAGCTGATGTTGGTGTTTTATTTTATTTCTCTGGTGCACTGAATGTTTTTTTTCCCGTTCTCCTTTTTTGTATTTTCACATTTAAAGACCTTTAAATATCTTGCTAAACTGGATTTTTAAAACATTTTCTCCCTATGAATGAAGAGCCTAAAACAAAAAACGACTATCAGAATAAATCAGATGTAATATAAACTCATTGAAAAAAAAAAAAAAAAAACATAGCACCAGATTAAAACATATCCCAGATTTGATCCCCTTAAAGGTGATTTTTGTCCATATTTCACTAGCTAGTTACTGAGAGAGGCTTATTATTGAATTGTACCTATGTTTTTATATTGACTGAAACTGAAACCAATGAGTCCAAATCTATTAAGGTTAACTATGGCAACATTTTCAATCCTTCATTTAAAAAAAAGAAGAAAATTGAAAGGCTTCCTTTTGACACAATTTGACGACATTCCTCTGTAACTGACCAGAAAAAGACTTTTTCAAAGTCAACATTTCGCCGCAGCTTCAGATTTGCTGATAAAACTGTAAATTAATTAATCTGCTATACTGTTTTTATGTACTGGTACTATAGTTTTACGTATATAGAAAGTATACATTGAAGTGTCCATATATTTTCTAAAGTTGAGTGCATAACATAGATGAGACTTCTCACCTTTATTTTGGTCAAATCTCCCTCTTATACACCTGTCTTTTAAATTCTAAAAATGGTGATGCACCTTTATTTTATTTTATAAATTTTTTTTTAAAACTTTCTGGCAATAATCCATTGTTTAATCATGTCTTAGCTTCCTACTTTCAATGGTTTTAATGCTTCAAGCTGTAGATCCATAAATTCCCATTTACTCTCCTTTTAAAAACTAGGTCTGGTTTCACAGATCATGAAGTGATAATTTTTTGTTCAATTTCCAAACATCAGCATCAAAGACAGTGTAGAAACCTTAAGCAGAAACACAAGCACTTCTTCACTTCTTTAATCTATAATTTTTATCAATGAATGTTTCTCATATGCTACTTTAAACATCTTCAAAATCCCTAACTTATATACTGTGGTTGCTTGCTTATCTGCAGCCATGCCAGACATGAGTGGAGGCATTAATAATCTAAAAATCCCTTCTCTTGTTCAGCCAATAATGTGGAAAGCGCTGCCTCAGCTAAGTCTGCTGTGGAGGAAGGAATGGGCTGTACCCTCTAGATGACCTCAGGGAGCAGTTTGCTTAAATCCTAAACGGTGGATGAGAGTGTATGTGAAAAGGTCATACAGCTTGTTAACTGCAGCCACAGAGGAAGTCTTTTGTTGCTCCATGTAAGTAAAATGATCTTTTGCCCTAACTTTGTATGTAAAATGTCCCCTTTGGCAAACACTCTTCAGGCATCACAGAGGAAAAAACTCCTATAGTTAATTTGTAGTAATACCAGTCAAACAACAGTAGGGGGCAGCAGGCTCTTTGATAAAAACAAAAAACAAATCTATTATCTCTAAATGGATATACTGGAACAAAATAAACACCATAGGCATACTGTTTCCAAAAATGAATTATATTATTTAAGGCACACATTAAAAGTTTAAGTTTCATCACGATTGCTCACAGTAAATACAGAGTGACAACTGAAGGACAGAAAAACATGGGTGAAATTCACAGTTGCAGTACAATTCTGGTCTCAAAATAAAAGATTAGAATTATATTTTTGCTTAATATTTTTCCTTATTCAATGAAATTGCCTGGTCTAAATCCTATTCATTAGTGATTTTTCAAACAATTCAATGTCAGATTGAACTTATATCGGTTAAATAGGCTCCATATAACTTTCCTTACTCTTCTTATTCTATAGTCATACATGGAATTTATTCCCAAGTATTATTTACACTGGATAAATCAAGCTCCGACCAGTCATTTAACTACCCAAAGTGATTCCCACAACCAAACAACGTACCAACTTTGGATCTGTAAGGTTACAACAGCAACAAGAACAGTCTTAATTAGAGACGAATTAGTATTAATGAACTTAAAAAAACTAATATATTTCAATGTCCTTACAGTTAATAACCAGGAAAGGATTAATTAATGCATCAGCTAGATAAGAGCAGGGTCAGTGGAGGAATGAGGCATAATTCATCATCTATTAGCTTAAAAGAAGATGAAGATTTCACTAGTTTACATACAGAAATTAGCTTAATGTGATCTATCAGGCATCCCCTCTGCAAGTACCAGCGCGTAAATAGGCTACTTTTTGGGGGATCTGTGATGGGAAATACTCTAACGTAACTATAGATTGTTATTTTGCCTTACACATGTGCCAGAAGCAGAATCCTGCATTATCGTTGATATCGTACAAATAGTTTGCAGAGACAGATAAAAAAAAAAAAATAAAACAAAATATAATATGGAACATCATATAATAGTACATGAATGGTTGAAAATAACTCAAAAGAGAAACAACATCAACACACATCTGGCAGAGAGTGCAGACATTGACTGATACAGTACAATCAAATTAAATGAACGTCCACCTCTAAGGGGGGAATCATTTATTCACACTAATATCTTGGTTGTTGCTTCATTTGTGCATAAATGCTACCATTAACGGAAACGTATGTGCAAAGTGAGATCTAGTGCCGAAAAAAGCCAAATTGTTCTCTCTTTCTTACAGACTAATGCTAAAGTCTACCCAAAATCACAGCATTTACTGTCCCGGTTCCGTAGCCTTAATGTATCAACATTTTCATTAAACATCATCATTTTAGAATAGACCGTAAACTGATTTTTAAATAGAAATAAGTTTTAAAAAATCTGAGCAAATCAAGAAACTTTCAGGTTTTGCATCTTTCTCTTATCATTTAATATGCTGCATGATGCTACGTGCTAAAACGCTATAACTGCTTAATTAGCCGAGCTAAGCATTAGGAACCCTACTCCATTCCTACTGCCCTGAAATAGCAAGCCATTCATTTTTAAGCTATACTTCTGTTCAGGACAGAATTTTATCATTAAAACAACTTGTTTTGTCTATTAAGCCTAGCAGTTTAAAATATGCTACTTCTGGCATGCTTGTATCCACTGTCACACAGTACCAATCACAGAGGAAAATGTTCCTACTCAATAGTTTTTTATAGGCTTCAAACTCAGGAGGATTGGATAACTACTCTAAATTGTCCATGCTGCATAATACAGCTGCTGTTTTCACAAAGCTTGAAGGATACTCTCTGGAAGAGACAGATTACTCCCCAAAACTAACCACTTTCTTTCCTAAAAACAACAAATTTCTTTCCTGGAATTTACCAGATTCTTTCCAGAACTTATCAGGTATTTCCTAGAAATGACAGGTTACTCTCCTGAACTTAGTATGTACTTTCCGCTAACGTAAATTTCGCTTTGCAAAGTATTTTCTAGGTAACTTCCAAAGAGTTTAAGTCTGAGAACATTACCCAGTAATTTCCAGAAAGTGCAGAGTTATATCTGGCAAAAGTACCAAAAATATTCTGTGAAATTACCAGGGAACGTACTAGTTTCTTTCTAAGAAAACTAAAGCAAGAAGACAGAAAGTTCAGGAAAGTACCATATAGGATTAGGAAAAATTTCAGAGAGAAACGTCTATCTTCCGTAACAATAACCTCTGCGCTTTGTCAAAGTGCGGCCCCATCATGTGGTAAGAAGACCCAACATTTTATTTAAATGATTATAATCACCTAGAAAATTTGTTTTAATAAAACCTTTTTCCATTACATTCTGGTGGAGGTGCCCTGTTGTCTTGTTTTTGTTTGTTTTTTTCTTTTAGAAACACCTGAGTGATGAATGGGAGCCTGATATGAGAGACAGTCTGCTTATCTGTTTGGTGACCGCAAACATGTCTATTAGCTTGCCTCTGATATGGCTGCCAATCAGGCAAACCATCTTACTTCATCGGCTTTTGATGTCTTGCTGCTTTTTGCATTGTGAAAAACAAATGTGCACAGTGCTGTTTTCGAGACTGTCATTTTCACAGACTGCTCTGGGGTGCAGGAACATAGATGACCAGATGTGAGCGCATGTGCTGACAGAACAACAGGTTTTGCTTGTAGATTGCTCAGCTGCAGGCTAGAGGCAAGTGCAAGTGATGAGGTGGGTATCTGAGAGTAAGAAGCCTATCCTGATAAATAGGCAGCTGGTTCAACATTGTTATTCTGTCCATCCTCTATTGCCTTGTTCTTCTCGCTTGTGGAGAGTTCAGAAGATTCCACCACAGCCTTCTTTGACCTGTTAGGAAAAGAACAAACACGTTTATCAATTTAAAGTAAATTAGATTAGATCCTGATCTTTCAGCTATTTATTATTCTTATGGTCCAAATAATATACTATTTCGCTATTACTAATATTATTACTAAAGTTATGTGTTACTTATATGTCTTATTTGAACTGTTTTATGTCAGATTCTTTTATATCTGACTAGGTGTTAATTATACAGGTTATTGGGTCTAAAATGTTATTAACAAAGGTCTTAGAAATGTTTTTAAAAACTTTTTTTGAACTGTTTTATTATATATATCCTAAATAACAGTGTTTTTGTTTTTATTCTTACATATCTCTATCAAGGCCAGTATATACGAGGGGGTGCTCTATGTAAAGTAGGAACATTTTTTCATTCTTTGCAGGTTAACTGGCAATGAATGGCTAATTGTCCTACCAAATACCTGCTTACCAGATCTTCTGCAATTACTTGACATAATTTGATCACCTTTATATATTTTTTAAAAATTCATTGCTAAGTGGCATTTCTTGGTTTTAATCTGTTTGTGAAGATTTTTTTTTTTTCTCCCATTATTTTTTCTAGTTTCAACTCGCAGAAAATGTGAAAGACTCTGGTGGTAAACACTAAGGTATACCGTAAAAGACAGGCCTCACTTTAAGTTCATAGTATCCCACATGATTTTATTACCTAGTGAGCAATTCTTTAGTCAATTCAGTATACAGTACTTCACTGAAATCTAAAAAGTGTAAAAATTAAGTGAAAAAAAAAAAAAAATGAATAGAGAAACTAAGATGTTCATCTTGACCCTCTGTAACAAATTTGTTTCATGGTATAACTGCAAGACTATCATTAGAATAAATGACACCACAGTAAGCGATATTGTTTTAAGAGATCATGAAATTTCTTACTTTTCTCTGTTGAAGACAATGAAGTCTCTCTGGACATTGTCCAACCGCTGCTGGAGCTGCCCATTCTGGGAAAGAGAGAAAGAAACAGAATAACTCAGGACGTTAATAATGGAAACTGTATAAAACAAGTAGAAACTAATTATTCATTAGAATTTATTTAAAAAAAAAGTCCATTATCAATTCTTTTTAAAGCTACAGTGTGTAATAATTACAGGCATATAAAGTCAGAAATTTAATATATTATACATAACTATGTTATTTATCATCACCTATGAGCTCAGCCTTTTAACCATAATATTTGCGTTGCCTTAGAATTCGTTATTTATAATTACATAGGAGCGGGTCTCGCAGCCATGGAGGCTGACATCTTTGCGCTACGGCAAGCGCAGAGGCAACAAACTAGCGATTGCGAGATCTCCCATGACGCTCAAAAATAACTACGGCAAGTTGAGAGAGATTAACTGAGACGGTACTGAACAGTAGATGGCAGTATAATGCCTGAGAAGCGTTTAGTCTGCCTGAAACCAAAGAAGAAGAAGAAGCAGGTATACTGCGCCTCAGTAACAAGAAAGGTGAACAAGGCGGCAGGCGTGAGTGACTTTGCAAACTGTTTGGCACTGTGTGGCCAAACATCAGACGAATGGAGGATCATGCCTACTCTGTATCACAACGAAAAGCGGCGGACACCGAACCCCCGTCATCTAAGAAGCGGAAACACGACGAGAATAAACGCAAGCGTGACAAGAAACGGCAAAAAACACGGATCAACATTGGCACGGCATTTACACGATGGAAGTCACTGATGGAGGAAAAAGGTTTTCAAAGTGACGCTCAAGTTGCCAGTTTTCTCTTGGACAGGTAATTAATCCTATACACACAATTGTCTAATATCACTGCAGTTTTTGGAGTACAGGATGCTCAGACCTGTCTAAAACAATAACATGCTGCGTGATGATGCTGTTACTCTCCAGTATACTTATTCAGCAACGTCCCTGACGTTTCACAGGTAATGATTCAGTAATTTTCTGTAAAATAATTTTCTGGATATATACCTCGGTTACTTCTCTCCGGCTCCTTTGGAGATCTTCAAGCCTTTCCTCCTCTGCTCTCACCCCGCTGGCTCCCCTCTCTCGCCTGGCCCTAGCTGCACGGCCTCCCTGCCTTCGCCCTCGTCCTCTCCCTCTCCCTCGCGTTGTAACCCCCGTGCCACCAAAATGACTTGGACTCTGTAAACGGGGGATATATATTCTTCCAGCGAACACAATCTCGCTGTTAAACTAATGACTACAATTACTTCGTCTGTTTATATCACCATGCAAAGCAGCTCACCAAGACGTCACAACGATGTAGAAAAAATAACGGGTATATTTATTATCTTAAGTCTACATGAAATCTATACCCTACACAGACTAATGAAATACTATCTGTAAAATTATCTATGTAAACAAACCTCATCACTTGAGAGGGTAGGTGATGTGGACGTCGTAGAAGAAATTTTGTCCCGTAACGCTCGCCGTACTGTTGGGGGGGAGAAGCGGTGGGGGGGAGATGTTCATGTTGCTGCGGTCTGTAGTCTGACCGCTAGATGTCGCTGAAAATTACACACTGTAGCTTTAATAGTCTATCACTATGAAAACCTTTTCTAAAGTTAATGTGTGAGACCTTAATGACTCCCCATTACAACGGATGGACCTGTTTCGGTTCAATTTGTATGTTTTCTAAGTCATAACAAGACTTTTGTTGGGCTATTCTATAAAGCCTGGAGATCAACACTACTCCAGACATTATGAACTCAGAAAGCTTTCTGGATGGGAAGCGAAACGTCTCCAAACTTGGAAATAAAAGTCCAGTGGTTTTGTTCTTAACTTTTTTTTTTTTTTATTAATGTTGAATTTTTCACTTTATAACTAAGGGCACAAGATGATAATTAAGTATACATATCGCTCTTCATATTTGATCCTTTGAAAAAAGGTTGCCTCACAAAAATACTTATACTTCTAAAACCTAGCTGTTCTGTAAGGACCTCAGAGGTTTTGTAGTGAGCAGTAATGGACAAACTATGAAAATTAATTAACACAGCAGGCATGTTAGGAATAAAGTAACAGATATTTTAGGCATGGTTAGGTTATAAGGTAATACTCAAAGGTTTTAACTCTCACTTAGAAGTAAGGTTTTTACCATACTTACATTTTAAACTCAATATTGAAACCCAGGGAAATATTTGATACTTGATACCATTTTTGATAACATAAAGATGATAAAAAATTCCAAGTAATTAAAGACAGAAAAAGAGTTTTATGAACATGAAAAACCTTTTCAATCTCAACATGGGATATGCTTTCTTAACAGAATTACAGATTCTAGTGAAATAAGTGTGCACAAAAATTCTAAATAAAAGCAATATATCACAACTGTAAATATTTAAAGGTTGTCCATGGTAATATTAATTTAATGCACAAATAATCCAAAAATCTAAATGCAACAAAAGCGAAAACATACCAGCAACACTTTTCTTTAGTATTGATACCATGCCAAATAACTATTCTGTACAGATATGATGTTTGAGTATTCATACTTTTCAGGGCATTTTTATTTTTGACAACCTTGTAGATCATTGGTTAGTCCATCAACATTGTACATCCCCTAAAACCAATGCCCTCCTTCCTTAGTTGGAATGTTGATTTAAGCATGTTTCTTTTCAACAGACACAGGGAAGTTTGTCAGAGTTGGAGCTGGGAAGATGGATGGAGCAAAATACATTAGAATCTAGGAAGGAAAAACAATTAGAGGCTGCTAAATACAATACAATAGGAGGTGTTCACCTTCCGACAGGTCAATTATCAAGATAAAGTATATTTTTGGAATATGCCCTAATAACAGGTGATCTGGGACATTTTTTACTAATCTTTTTTATTTTCAACATGATTTTAATTTATTGCTTTAAAAAGTATGTTAAGTATGCATGGGAATTTTTTTTAATGAAATGTGTACTGCTGTATTTGCTTTGAAATGTAGTTCTGCACTTAATAACAGTAGCTAAACACTTTGAAAAGTTTTTAACTTAATCTATTAATGAAAGGGAAAAAAATATGTCCACTACCCAAACAAAAATTACTTTCTATTTTTTTTTTTTTTTACATTAAGTATATCCAAATTAAATAACTTGAAATCTAATATACAAAATATACAAAAAAATTAAATATACAAAAGTCTAAATACTTTAAGCCTTATGAATACTTTCTTTGGGAAATGCTAATGCTTATGCTTCTGCTTAAGCAAAAATTATGAACAAGAGAACATGCAAGAACGTGCAATAAAAAAAAAATGCATTTTTCCTATTACAACTTGAACGTCATTAAACTTTGTTTAAAATATTAACCTTTAATAAATGCCAAAGCCATCGACTCGGGATTTGCAAAAGGTCTGTACTTTATTGAATTTACTAAGCCTATTGATTATTAGTGTATCTAAGGAGAGCCAGCTTTTATCCTGTTAAAAATGATTAAATACGAAGTCCCACTTGCACTGAGAGCAACTTCCTGTCAAAGCTTAGCTAGATTAGGTCTTTACTCTATGAAATTATAAATGTCAAATACAAAGGTTGAAGCCCAAACGCTAAAACAAGGGCAGGGGGGATGAGCTTTTGGGAAATAAAAGCTATCAGGTTTTAAAGGCAGAAAGAAAAGGTGTTTGAGGAAGATGGAAGAAAAGCAACGATTATAAGAGAACCTCATGTGTTATTCAGGAACTTACATTTGAAATTGCACAGTCACACAAACCTTCAGCCAGCTTTAAATAAGGCTTACCATAATGTGGATGGGAGAAAGGACAAATAAAATCCAGATACAGACAAAAGAGAAGCTAAAGACTGGCTGTCAGGACTCCTGTTTTGTGTCTGTGTTTTCTGTGTCTGTCTCCCTTCATCCACCAGGATGCGCCTGGTTCTGGTCCGCCTCCTCACACACCTGCGGATGGTTTCTTCGTTAAACGGAGTGCTCTTAAGCTGCTGACTGCCACTACTTCGACGCCAGAGTGTTTGCCAGTTTAGGGTACTCTAGCCAAGCTGAGTTTGCTGAGTCAAGCTGAGCTTTTGTCATCCTGAGTTTAACTTTGTTTTGTCTTTGCCTCTTGGCAGGAAGTTGTCCTGCTAACTGGATCTCTTGGACCTTCACACCCTGGAAGGATAAACTGAGCTTCAACCTGAGCTGGGATTCAAACAGGAGTTTTGGATCCACTTTCCCCATGAGATTGTTTGAGTTTTCACTGAGAAAGAGATTATTCTCCACAACGACCCGTTCAAGTCCCACAGGAAATCTGAGTGGCAGTCAGTATCTCCATTCTCCAACAATCAACCACATTCTGGGTAAAACCTGTTCCGCCCTCCACCGAATCAGACAGACACTGGAACCACAGCACACAGACAGGAGTCAAGGACACAACAACTTCACTGGAAACGTGAGTCGGCAACCAAAACCTCTTCAAGTTTCACGAGTAAAATTCCCCACTGAGCCTGAACTAACCGCTGTGTCTTCCCCTCACTTTGCGGTTCCGGTTCCTGTTTACTTCTTCAATAAAACCCTTTAAACATTTTACCTGGACTCTCTGTTCGGTTTTCTGCATTTTTGGGTCAGAACTTTGAAACATCATGACACCGGCACAACAGAGCATTTTAACAATAATCTTGTCTCTTTTGTTGTTACTATATTGCAAAATTGAAAAAAGTTGATAAGCATATCTCATAAACACATGAAAAATAATCCATACTTCACATACATTATTAGAAATTTCCCATTTGTGCTTCAGTTAATTGGCTTAAGACCAACATACATTCCCTTTTTAAAGTGTAGCATTCATGACAAGATATGAAACTTATGAATAGAAGAGGCTTAAACTATTATTGTGTAGCTAGTTAACAGATTACAAGCAAAATCTGGCTGTAAAGCTGCTTTTCTATGTGAAGAACACATGTTTGGAAGCAGGCCAGATAAGTAATATTAAACCAGCTGACAATATTTGTAAAACACAGTTGCAGTCACAAGTTTGCCCTTTGTAGACTTATTCTTTA